GTTTTATTTATATTATGTGTATTGAGTTCTTCCCTGTCATTCAGCAATAAAAGTTCAGGCTTAAAAGGAATACTGACTTCAGTGATGTTTTTAACTTGATCTAGAACTTTTGCCCAAAAGACTGAAATTTTGGGGCAAAACATTCAGCAATGTAGGTTAGTTCCTTCTTCCCTACATTGTCTCCAGCAGGTGAGGTTTAAGCCTTTAATGTGGGCTATTTGCACCAGAGGACATAATTTTGAATGTCTGTAGTCTAGGGTTGCCAAGTCCCCGCTGTATGTATAGTGGGGGACTCCAGCACAGATCCGGGAGTGCGCGCGCGCTCCGCAACCACATCACTCGGAAGTGACGCAACCCCATCGGGCACGCGGGGGCAGGGCCACAATCATCTGAGGGAAAACCATAGAGTTTTCCCTCAGATGACCATGGCCCCGCGCCCGACGCGACTGCGTCACTTCCGAGTGACATGCTGACGCTGGGCAAGTCGCCTGCTTTGGGGGTGGGGTTCCCCCCGGGGTAATGGGCCTCTGGGGCAGGGGTTTCCCCGCCCCCCGGGGGGACTTGGCAAGCCTACTGTAGTCGGATAGTAATTATGGAGGAGGTTATATTCAAATGAATTCTATATGTGCTCCCATGAACTCTTGTCAGTTTGTTTGGAAATTAATTTGTCCCATCTGGACTGGTATGACAAAATTTAATCTTCTCTAAATTGTGCTAGAATTTGAATTAATTTTGAGATAATTCCTTTCCTGGTATACTCCATTGATTTAATTATCATTTCAAACTTTGTTAAAGGTTGTCACATCATTTTTCCTAATTGTATGGTCTTACACATGTGTCTTATTTGATAATATTGGAACCAAGATACAAATGTTCCTAGTTTTGTTTCTAAATCTTCTTTGCCTATAATTTTATTATTGGTTAGTAAGTCTTTTAGTTTGGTAACATTTGCCAAATGCCATGCAATTTTTCTTACTGGAAACGAAGACCTGTTCTTTTAAATTCTCAAGTTGTTAAAAAGTTTCTCTTTGACAGGAAAGTACTGCATATATTTCAGTGTCCCCCACCACCACGTTTCCATTGCTTCCCACCATGGCTTCAAACTTTCTGGGAAGCTTACGTCTTCACAAACACATAAGCTCCAACCAACTCAGGTACAGGAGTGAAGTGAATATGTTCTGCCATCACGACCCATCACATCCCAGAAACGGCTCCCTCCTTTCCCAAACATGGCAATCATCTAAGATTACAAGAGCCTGATTTACCATTCCCATGTTTATTAAAGGCAGTACAGCCCTTAATCCACATTCTGGGCATTAGAAATAACATGCCAGTCTTAACATGGCAAGCTTCCTGTTTAGATCAACCTTACCTCTTCTCTAGAGACCTTTAGCTCTTGTTCCAGGAGGGCCTTCTCTCCTTGCCATGCCAACTGTTTCTGGAGATGCTCCTTTGTCAGTTCAGCAGAGGCCTCTTGAAGCTGCTTGGCAACTGCAGCTTCATGCGCTTTTTCACTCTCCAGCTCAGCAAACCTCTGATTCAGTAAACGGATTGTACTCTGATCAGCCTTACTACTGCTGCTTAGTTCAGAGAATTCGTGGCTCAGCTGACCAGTCCTGGCACTTAACTGGGAGATCTCTTCTTTGTACTGCTTGTTCTAAAGAGAGAAGGTACAGAGAGGGCAACCCAGTAAAGCTTAACCACACATCAAGGTTGTCTATATCTCAAAGGACCATGGACCAAAGGCTTCCTTGACCTACACTCCCCTTCCAGTGACACATAGACAGAGAACATTCTCACTGGAAGAGAGAGGAAGGAAAGGAAATTCCTTTTCTAGACAGGAAATACTTTTGAAGTGTCTACTTTTTTTAAATTAGTGGTGTTTTTCAGAACAACCCACTTTCCAGAGGGCAAACTCAAATGCAGATGAAGTCTCTAAACAAGCCCTAACATACAGGAAGACCCTTGCCATGGTAGGCCATGATCCGGGTATTAGAGATCTCCATTCAACTGCAGAACTATGGACCACTTAGAGCTAAGCTATCAGCAAGCACTGCAGAAGCTTGTTTTTATAAAGCTCTTTACCTACTTGAGTGTGTTTGGCTAGCACAGGATGAACTAAATATTCATTGATATATCCAGGTATGAAAAGCTAGTACAGTACTGATTAACTGCAAAGCAATGTGGGAAATCTGCAATTAGCTGCACAACAGCTTAGGTGGAGAGGCTTGATTCCCTACCCACCAGTTCTCCCTATAATTCTTCTCACCCACGTCCCTTCCAGGGTTCCTGAAGCATATTTCCTCCATTCTGGTTGGAAAGTAGCTGGTGTGAGAAGGAAGAAAAGAGAGCTGAACCCTGCCCCCAATGGCCGCGGGACACATGCTGGACCACAAAAAGACCCTTTAAAGACCCTCTTCCCCTCCCTTCTGCTACATCTAAAGAGCCCTCCAGCTGGTTGGCGGGCCACATGGTCCACGCTGATCAGCTGAAGCCCTTTAAATTAGGCAGGAGGGGAGGGAGAGGGGTGGTCAGGCAGGTGGTTGTCACTCTTGGGGGTGGGGCTTGGGGCATCCTAACCCACCCCCCGGAATGCCCAAATCCCACCCCTACCAGTGCAACGAGGGGACCTGGCAACCCTACAACCCACATTCACAGGCTCATCTAGTTAGGCCCTACGTAAGGAAAAGAAAATCTAACTGTATTCTAATTACTTTAAAAATGTTTACCAATTGATTTAATTCTTCCATTTCACTCCCAGCCTTCTCTTTTTCTATCTTCAGTTCATCAATGTGTTTACTGAGGAAGTTAAAAAACACACAGACTTTACATTTTTACAGTAAGAAGTCTAGGAACATTTTATTTTAAAACATACTTCTTTATAGAGATAAGCTCCAGACAGATGGCTGTGTTAAACTTTAGACTCCTTTGGTTTTGGACATCATGGTTGTGATGAAGTACCACTCTCACCTGGAAGAGCAAATCTTGATCTAGGACTCAAAAGCGATGCTCCCTCTAAGCTATGGAGTCCTGTGAGCAAAAATTCTACTTTGTGAGCTCCTGGCATTAAAGTTGTGAGCAGGTGATGTGGCCACTGCATAAATTAGTTTGCTCTGGAGCCATCCTTCCAGAGCTAAGACAACAATGTGTGAGCCAGAGGGGAGGGCTATTGCTGGGGAAATGGGGTGGGGAAACCTGCCATGGGGAAGCCTAACTCAGCTTAGACGGAACACTGCTCAAAAGTAGTCAGAGCTCAGAAACAGCTAGGAGCTCAGCAATATTAGGTATCAGCAAACACAGCAGAGGGTTGTTAGTATAAATCCTTTTGCTCGTTTAAATGAAGGAAAATGAGAAGAAAAAGTGCACGGGATCCTAAAGTCATTAGCCCCAATCAATCAAGCAAGCAAGCAAGCTATACTTAGTCACCACTAAGACCCCCTGAAGTCAATGCTTTGCTGAGAAGTTATAAGAAAGATCGCAGTAAACTGGGATGGCTGCCATTTGGGTGGGAAAGTTTGGATTTTCCCACCCGTGTGGCAGCCATTTCCACCCCCTGACACTAGAGGCCTTTTTTGTTTTGTTGTTTTAAATAAACATTTATATAATGAGTTCTCTGCATCACCAGCTTTCATTTTTAAGAAGTCTCTAGCCCTTTTTATTACAGAGATATAAGGGAAAAGGCAGATCTCTAAAACAAAAGTGACTTTTAAAAAACTAAAGAGGGAAATTTAGAGAACCTGTTATAGATTTTGTTCTCAATACTCTGATTCAGTCACCAATTTTTAAAATTGATATTCAGTGGCTATGGGAACAGGGGAGGGCTATTGCTGGGGAACTGGGGTGGGGAAACCTGCCATGGGGAAGTCCTGCTGCTCTTTTGGCAGCTGCTGCTGCAATGGAAAAACGACACACGCCTGTCCCTGTGTAGAAAAGCACAACTAAATGGGACTTTTAGCTGACTGCCCTTCCTGACTGTTGCCAACATCAGTGCAAATGGCTGTCAAAAGAAATGTATCTTCAAAAGCCAGCTGTAATTGTTCCCAGTTGTAAAGTGATTTGCAAAGGTAGTCTTTGAAATATTACCAAAAGTGCAACTGTTGAAAACAAAGGTGGTTATATGGCCTCTGCTTTTAATGGCTATGTTAGTGTACAAAATGAAGCTTGCATAAGAAATGGACAATGTCTACATTGTATATGGGCACCACTTATGCGTAACTGAGAATCCTACAAGTTGTGCCATAGCATCATGCACATACACACAAAATGTTGCATTGATGTATTCCCATGTTCTGAGATCTTGCTGTACTACATTTGCTGTCTAATGATCATTTTATTCCACTAGTTGCCTCTTTTGCTGGCAAACGTTTAGTCCTAGATTCCTTCTCTGAAGCAGAAGGTGCCCTGACCTGGATAGGCCAGGCTATTTTATTTATTTTATTAGATTTTTAGCCGGCCCTCCCCTGCACAGCAAAGCTCAGGAAGGGTAACAAGCTAAAAAAATAATAAATCAGTTGTTAAAAACAGATTAACATAATTGCACAGCAAGAATAAAATCAAATCAGATTGTGATTTAAGGCACTAATAGCACAAATTGTCCAAGTGAGATTATGCCACCTGTGTGTCAGTGGAAGCTGGTTGTTGTTGTTCAGCCGCACAGTCAAGTCCGACTCTTCGCGACCCCATGAACCAGATCACACCAGGTCTTCCGCCGTCGTCTGAAGTTTGCTCAACTTCATGTTCGTTGCATCTATGACACTGTCTAACCATCTCATCCTTTGCCGTCCCTGTCTTCTTTGACCTTCAATCTTTCCCAGCATCAGGGTCTTCTCCAGTGAGTGCTCCCTTCTCATTTGGTGGCCAAAGTATTTGCACTTCAGTTTCATTATCTGGCCTTCCAGGGAACAGTCAGGGTTGATTTCTTTTAGGATTGACTGATTTGATCTTCTTGCAGTCCAAGGGACTCTCAAGAGTCTTCTCCAGCACCATAGTCCAAAAGAATCTATTCTTCGGCGCTCGGCCTTCCTTATAGTCCAACTCTCGCAGCCATAGATGACTACTGGGAATACCATTGCTTTGACCATGCGGACTTTTGTTGGCAGGGTGATGTCTCTACTTTTTATCATGCTGTTTAGGTTCGCCATCGCTTTCCTCCCAAGGAGCAGGCGTCTTTTAATTTCATGGCTGCTGTCACAGTCTGCAGTGATCTGGGATCCCAGGAACATGAAGTCTGTCACTACTTCCACAACTTCCCCTTCTATTTGCCAAGGAAGCTGGAACAATGACATAAAAATGGGGGGGAGCTGGGGGAGGCCAGTGGATGGATGGAAAATTTGCTGCCTCAACCTGGCAGAACATTTCTATTTTACAGGCCCTGCGGAACTGGATCATTCCACAGGGCCCAGATGTCACGTGGAAGCGCATTCCACCAGGCCGAGGCCAGAGCAGAGAAGGCTGTGGCCTGGGCTGAGGCAAGATGAACATTTTTGGGCCAGGAACCTCCAGAAGATTGTTATTCATAGAGGACAATGCTCTCTGGGGGACATACCAGGAGAGATGGTCCCTAAGATATGTTGATCCCAGACCATGTAGGGCTTTGAAGGTTAAAACCAGAACCTTGAATCTGATCCAGTAGTCAACTTTGAGCCAGTGCAACTGGTGGAACACCGGTTGTACGTGGGCTCTGGATGGCGCACTTGTAAGCACCCACGCATTCTGATCCAGTTGAAGTTTCTGGGTCATTCTCAAGGGTAGCCCTGCATAGAGTGAGTTATAGTAGTCTAGTCTGGAGGTGACCGTTACATGGGTCACTGTGGCTAAGTCAGGGCAAGACTGGAGGGGAAACAGTTGCCAGACTTGGCACATATGGAAAAATGCCAGTATGGCAATGTTTGTGATCTGGGCCTCCAATAAGAGGGAAGGGGGAGGAGGAGAAATTGGATTTACACCCCGCCTTTCACCACCCAAAGGAGTCTCAAAGCATCTTACAATCTCCTTTCCCTTCTCCTCCCCACAAGAGACAACCTGTGAGGTAGGTGGGGCTGAGAGAGCTCTTTCAAGGACTGCTTGTGAGAGAACAGCTCTGAAAGACGTTGTTAACTGACCCAAGGTCACACTAGCAGCTGCATGTGAAGGAGTGGGGAATCAAACCCGGTTCTCTCAGATTAGGGCCCACGCTCTTAACCACTACACCAAACTGGAGGCATCCAGAAGCAGTCCCAAGCTCTTCACCAAGTGGCCTTGGTGTTAACAGTTCATCGTCAAGGGCTGAAAGCTGGCATCCCGGCTCAGCCACAGAATCTCCATCTTTGATGGATTTAGTTTCAGCCAGCTCTACTTCAACCAACCAACCACACTCTCTAGACCCCAGCCAGATTGTCTGGGGTGGCATTCAGATGGCTGTTCATCAACAGATACAGCTGTGAGTCGTCAGCATACTGGTGACATCCCAGCTCAAAGCTCCACATCAGTTGGGTGAGGAGGCACATATAGATGTTAAATAACATCTTCTCAGATCTTGGAAGCTAAGCAGGGTTGGCCCTGGTTAGTATTTGGATGGGAGACCTCCAAGGAACACCGGGGTTGTGACACAGAGGCAGGCAACGGCAAACCACCTCTGAAAACACTATGAGATCGCCATAAGTCAGCTGTGTACTTTCCACCACCAAAAAGAAGGCACATGCCCTCTGCAGGCTTCCAAAAAAACCACACTCCCACCAGATTCCCAACCTACCGGTGCTTTTTATTTGCCTCGTTAGCATCCTCTACTTGTTGCTGAAGTCTTCCCAGTTTGTTCTTTAGGAGACCGTTGTCTTCTAACACCCTGTGGAGCTCAATTCTGTATTGCAGAACAGAACATTGAAAGAGTGAGTTTGAAGGTGTAGAAGGATCAGAATGGCAGATTTTCAGCCATCCTCAGGCAACAGCTAGAAGAGCTGCCGATCCTCCCTTGAAACACAACGTCTGGAAACAGCCGGTTGTGTCAACCAACCTGGCTAAAAGCAAACAGTAGTTCACTACAGATTTATTTTTTAATTAAATCTTATTATTGTGCATAACACTTTTGAAGAAGTTGCTCCAGGTATGCCTTTACCCTCCATGCACAGTCACCCTTTCAAGTTCAGAATATTTTTGATCAACAGATTTTAACCTGCAGACTGTGATTCTATTTCAGGTTTCCCACAAGTGCATAAGCAGCACACTCTTACCATTTGCCCACAATGTTCAGACCGCAAATGAAGTCTACAGCCTCTTCTCGCTATACTCTATCCAACAAGTCTGGAGAGTTCTACAGGGCTCTCAAAAGTTTTCATGACAATACCATGGTAGTAAATTTAACCCAGAAGTCCAAATAAGCCCCATGTGAGCAAAGATGCCCACGCTCTTCTGCAGCAGGGAATGCCTTCATGCAGTTGTGCACCTGAAGCATTCCCTAGCACAAAGGGCATCAGTTACACATATCCAGATGTTCAGAAATGGGAGCTTGGCTCAGTCATTCAAACTCTATAAAGAACTGTCTTTGGGGAGAATGTTAATCTATACTGTAAAACATAATATGAGAACAAGCCTGTTGCAGAAGTTGGTATTTAACTGTAGTAAAATCCTTTGTTTTTTATTTATTGTTTTTTATTATTAAAAGATGTATTTTTTTATTAAAATCAAACTTGTGACTGTGACTTATCATTAAAGAACATTATCTCTGAAATGGCACCCTGTTGCAACTAATCGTCTTCATTGCAACACTAAGACACAGCATGGGAAACATTAGGGATACTGGGTCACAGGATTATGACTGAAAAAGTTCAGTTAGAGGAGCTGAAGCCTGCTATATGCCTATATTTGCTTACTGATCAATTCACTATGTTCTGAGCAGTAGAAAGGAGTAAGACTTGCTAAGTGCTGGGTCAGCTTAACTAATTTCAGCTCTGAATTTTCACTTGACAGTCACATGGATGTGGGATTTATGCTCATTTTGACTACATCTTAGAAGTCAGACCCACTGCTCTCTTTGGCTTTCTTTTTTGGCGCATCTGCCAGCTTCTTGCTGGAGAGATTTCATGTGTGTCTTATTCTTTATCTCTTCTAGCTCTGCTTCTGCGTCTGCCCTTCTGCTTCCTGTGGCATCAGCTTCATTTGACCCTGGATGTTCTCCTCTTGGTGCTGTAAGGACACAGCCTCCGTATGTTCTAACTTCTTGGACAGATGGTGGTCATCTGAGTCTTTCAGGGCTCTCCCTCTTTGCTGGACTGGCATTTAGCCCCTTTCTGCTTTTTGGTTATTGCACTTCTCATCAGCCCAGTTACAGTATTTACTCAAATGCAAGACTGCTTTTTGCCAGGTATGCCATCAAAAAAGGGTGAGGGGGTCATCTTAAATTCACATATAAGCTACAGTTATGTCCAGTAATTAAAAGAAAGCTTTGTGTGTAACTGTTTTTAAGGAGGATCATTTTACATTCAGGATTGTCTTCCTTTTTGAGTAAATATTGTGAGTACGCACAAAGTCTACTGCTTTTTCACATCACCTTGGTCCATGGCGCACCAACTTCTGCTGCCTTTGCTGAGATCACTAGTCTGCACAGTTCAAAAATCCAATCCTAGATCATGGAGATTTAGCATGGCATCTTTAATAAGGTCATCCTACCCTTTCTTGCAGCATCCCTGCACTACATTGTCTTTCTTGCACAGGTTGCACAGTTCTTTGCTGCAAAACAGCCTACTGATTATTATTGCAGCACTGAACTAGGAGTCGGCAACTGAAAAACTGCAGTCCACATATCAGCCTCTAGTAATCTATTGTACAGCCATCAGTCTTGTGGCTAGGTAAGGATTTACATACAAGAAGGCAACCGTGTTCTGGACTTCACCTCAACTTTTCTAGAGCTTCATAGAATTAATTTTTCTGTTACTGTTTTAAACTATTAATAGTTCCACTGTGCACATTTTAGAATTTTTAGTCTTCTGATTTACGGCCATGTTTTAACCTCTCTAACACGTCCCCCCCCCCTCTTGGATGCACAGCTTAACATAGTGAGGGGGTTTATGTGTGTCAGTGAACCTGAGAGCAATACCGTAACTACTCCTAGCAGAGTCACTCAAGGTGGAATGGTCACAGCTGAGACACCAAACTAAGATGGACTCACCCCCTGAGGGATGTTACTGTTTTAAACTATTAATAGTTCCAGTGTGCACATTTTAGAATTTTTAGTCTTTTGATTTACGGTCATGTTTTAACCTCTCTAACACCCCCCCCCCTTGGATGCACAGCTTAACATACTGAGGGGGTTTATGTGTGTCAGTGAAGCTGAGAGCAATACCGTAACTACTCCTAGCAGAGTCACTCAAGGTGGAATGGTCACAGCTGAGACACCAAACTAAGATGGACTCACCCCCTTCAGGGATCAATGGCCAAATCAGCAGAAAAGAATGGACAGTTCCAATGGTGATAGGGGTGGAGGAATCCTTGAAAGGTAGATACTGGGCAGCAGCAGGAGTGGACGGTGACACTGGCAGAGGATCTTTCATAGATAACAGCTGTGACACTACAGCTAACACTGGTTAGTACTGCACAGAAGAAGGCAATGGTAAACCACTTCTGAACAACTCTTATCTTGAAAACCCTACGATGGGACAATCCAAAATGAAAAAGGTATAGTGTTGGGAGATGGAACCTCCAGGTCGGATAGCACTTGATCAGCTACTGGGAAAGAGCTGAGGACAAGTATGACTAGCACTATTCTTAAGGACACAACTGGATTAAAGCAGAAAGGACCAAGCAGAAATCCCACCAGGCCTTGAGGAAAGGAAGCAGTAAACAAAATCACTACCACCTCACTCTTGGACTAGTGGAAAGCTGTCACCACCAGAGCCAGTTTGGTATAGTTATTAAGCGCGCCAACTCTAATCTGGGAGAACTGATTCCCCACGCCTCCACTCGCAGCTGCTGGATGACCTTGGGCAAGCCATAGTTCTGTCAGAGGTGTTTGAAAAACAGCTGTTTCTGTCAGAGCTCTCTCAGCCCCACCTACCTCACAGGGTGCCTGTTGTGGGGAGGGGAAGGGAAAGGAGTTTGTAAGCCACTCTGGGACTCCGAGTGAAGGATGGGGTATAAATCCAAACTCTTCTTCTTCTTCTTCTTCCTCCGTCAAGCAACAGTGAAAGTGATTTTGTCCCAGCTACCCTCTTCACTGCTACTCCTTGCCTACATGCTCACTGGCTTTTTGTTCATGGGGCTCCCTCAGTCCGCAGCAATTCCTTCTCAAACTCTGCGCATGGGCACTGGAGGAAGGGGAAGAGCCACTTCTTCAAATGCAATCATAAGATCCAATTCATGGCATATTCACGGAATATTCTCGGCATGAAGATCCATTACCTCTCCATCAAATCTCTGCCTGAACTCAAACACTACTTGATCATCCTCTTTATCAGTGCATTATCCAACATACCAGTCTTCCATTGGCTCTGAGCTGTGCCAGCATCTTAATGGTTTGAAATAAGGCAGGCTGCACACATCCTTGACTTCCTTAAAACATCTTTTAATGATGCGACTATGAGATGCTTTAAATAGGCATACTTTAGGGCTGTTGCTGCAATACCTCTTTCAGATCTCACTATACAACATGCTAAGAAAGCTGCTCTTTTTACCACACAACTCGTCTGGGACTGATTTGATAATGTGTGAAAGCACTTGCTTTGGATCTCCTGCACTGAGCAGGGGTAGGAGTAGACTATGTGGTCAACAGGATCCCTTCCAACTACATGCATGTGAACAATAATTCTAGAACCACAATAAGCAACTACACCAGGGGCTGCTTTTGGATCAAGGGCCACTAAACCTGCTCCATCACCTGTATATCTAGGGCATGGGAAAGAGAACCACACTGAACACACAATGGTCATGTAGTCTCTATTAGCTGAAGGAGTCTTCTCCACGCAAGTTCTTTCATCTTCTAGGCATGGAACAGCGGTCATTGGTGGTGTGGGTGGGAGGTATTTGTGAATTCGTGAATTTCCTGCATTGTGCAGGGGGTTGGACTAGATGCCCCTGGAGGTCCCTTCCAACTCTATGGTTCTATCAGATACCTCCATAGGTACCAAGGGTTCAGCGACAGAACAATGCAGCTGAATTTAATGTGTACAAATAATCAATTTACCAATTGTGTTGGCAATGTACATACATTTAGAAGTCCAAAGAGACAATGCCATCAAACCTCATTCGATGTATCTCAGTCTCATGCTTCCTTTTCATTTCATCTTGCAATTGGTTCGTTTCCTGGGCCAGCCTCTGTCCTAAACTGGAAATTTCTTTGGCATAGTACTGTTCCATTTCTAACATCTCCTTCTCAAACCTCTTCTCAAGTTCTTGGACTGGTGCTAGTTTCTGGAGTTGCTCTTTCAAGCCATCAATTACTTCCTGGCATTTCACATTCAACTCTTCCAGATCACTTTTCTGTTCCTCCAGTTCACTAATCTCCATCTTGAAGCCTTGTTCAATGTCTTTCCTTTCCTTCTCAAAGTTTATTTTCATTAACTCTATTTCCCTTTCATAGTAATTGACCTAGAACAGTTAAAATATTAATTGTGCATAACTGAGATAGCATAGTTATACCCATCTATCATGTTGCCATTATTTGCAAGGCCACCATGCATCAAACACACAGTCACACTTTACACATATACCATACACAGTGAAGGTTTAGCTTGGTCTACACACAGAAATTGATCTGGGTTAGAGAAACAGTTATTGTGGAAAGATTATGAAGGCTGTAATCTGTAAATCTCACTGAATAACACAATGGTGCAGTGTGGACTACTGGTTTGAGCATCAGACTAGAAGAATCCGGAAGACCCAGATTCAAATCCCAGCTCTACCACAGAAACTTGCTGGGTGTCTTTAGGCCAGTCACTCACTCTCAGAGTAGCCTGCCTCAAAGGAAGTTGACATGAGGATCAAATGGAGGTGGGAAGAAACATGGTTTAAGCTGCTTTGGGACCCCACTGGAGAGAAAATCCAGGTACAACTATCCATTCCAAATATAATTTAGACTACTTATTCAAGAATATTTCTACTGAGTACAGTAATCCGCATCCAAACTAAGTTTTCTGCTAAAAAAAATTGAGGTGTGGTTTCTGCTAATTCCTCCATCTTCCTTTAGACCCCTAGTTTTGACCGTCGGTGCCATTCCTGGAGGTCCCCCGTCCCCCCAGAAGCAGCATTTTTAGGAGATCAATGGGCTACAGTGGGAGAAAGGTGGCAGGGAAGTGCTGTTCTGTTTGTGTTCAAAAGTGCCTTCTCTTTGCAGAAAACGTACTCTGGATCCAACTCAGTTTGAGCAAGCAAATCAGATTATTGCAAGCAGAATGTTATAAATCTCAAGCTAATTTCAAAGTTTCCTGCCACATCCAACACCCACTATTATTCCATCACAACATTTCAGCACCTGTCAGTCTTTCAGAACATCTCTCCCTTTACTCACCTTGGTTTCCAGCTGTATTTTCAGATCTTGATGCTGTTCTTTCAGTTCTTCTATCAGAAGCTCCATTTCTATACTTACTGAATAGGTATCAGATACACCTACAAATAAGAAGACGCTTGAAAAAGACTTTTTCATTTATTTATTTTGTGCATGAGACCAAGAGGTAGTGTCTGAAAATGAAAAAGCAGCTAAGGCACGAAGTTAGACTGTATAAGAAGGCCCAACCCAACTGATTTATTTTGTGCATGAGACCAAGAGGTAATGTCTGAAAATGAAAAAGCAGCTAAGACACGAAGTTAGACTGTATAAGCAGGCCCAACCCAACTGTTTCCCAAAGTCTTTCTTTGAAAAGGCCACTAAACTGCTCAATTAAAAAATAAAGTAGTGGCAGGAGTTAGCCTTGTCCATATTGTTACGTCTTTAATGCAAACATTAGAAAATGTATCCACATGAGCATTTCAGCCCCAGAACATGCTGCTTGGGGAAGCTATTTGGCCATAATAAAGAACGAGCAGGACAGATTATTGGGCACAGATGCTTTTCAACACTGGAATTGTACCCTCAAGCTAATGGCCTATACAAAGTATCCTTAGATCTTGAACGTACCCCAAGGCTCCTAGTAGACCACTTACAACCACCCTTTTTATAACATGCTCAAATACATGCACATAAGTGCATTTACATCACTTACCACTTGGGCCTGAGACCGACACACACTCATTTCCAAGACGCTGACTTTCTCTTTCCACATTGTCTTAAAATAAAAGATTATATGATTATTAACAGTCTTCAGTTACTGCTTTAGAATAGCAGAACAAAAGAGAAAGGACTTTACTGCATCCTGAGTGGCTCACTACTCATTCCCATGGCTCAAAGTAACAGGATCGGATGCAAGGACCATTAGTGGCAGACCATCATAACAAGTCCTCTCTTGGGCCCCAAAAACCACAAGGCACCCAAGGGTACATATCCAGTAACTCTGAACAAGGACAGTTCACAGCTTGGCACAAGGTGATGTGGGACTTGATGGGGTACATGATGGGGAACCACTCAACAGGCAATTCCAGCCCGTGGCAGGACCCAGATGTCTTATGGCACTAGTACAACACTGGGGATCATGGAACATAAGTATCCAAGTGCCAGCTGGCACCACATGACAGACAATGGAATATCACGATGAACACTCTCAGACACTGCCAAGGACCCCACTCCATTTACAACTAAAGAAAGGAAACAAAGCAGCAGGCTGAAGCATCAGATATGTATACCAAACAATTTCTCGGGTAATAACTACAAATGAAGCGTAGGGGGAGAGCATTTTACATTCTATCCCACACTTCATACAGAGACCTCAAGGCAGTATACATGGTTACCCCTCCTCTGTTTTATCTTCACAACCACACTATGAGGTAGATTAGGCTGAGAGGGGGACTAGCCCAAGGTCATACAATAAGCTTCATGGCTGAGCAAGGATTTGAATACAGACCTCACCCGATCTTGTCCAACATTCCCTAGCTACACTGGCTCACAGACATATTTGAACACCCTGTAGGAAGCCCAAAAAGTCAACTACAGCAAAGTTTTTGAATCCCAGTGATAATGTGTGTGTTTTATGGTTTGGGGGCTCTGTTTTAAGCACAGAAACAATTTGCTCATTCTTTCATGAATAAAGAAATAATCCTCAGCCCTAATGTTCACATAAAACCATTTATCAGTTAGACAAAATATCCTATCACATTAGCCTAGACTGCATTTCAGATAATCTAGAATCCCATCTCAGACAATGGCAATCTAGATACAGGTGAGATGGGAACAGCCAAATTCTTTTAGCCATAGCATCTGGTAGTCAGAGATTACTAGGTAATCCCATACCTGAAAAACTAGGGTTGCCAGGATGCGCTGGTATTTGGGTGAAATTCTATGGGTTTTTTGGCCTCAAACCATACAGTTTGCCCAAACACCAGAGAGTCCGTACATGACATCCCTGTTTCATGGCGGGATCCCCTCGGTAGCCAAATGGTTCACTCTGGGGAGAAGCCCCTGAAAATAGGGGATTCCCTGCCTGATCTGGAGGCTGGCAAGCCTATGAAAAACAGGGTTGTGTTCCTTCCCGTAATGGCTAGAAAGACATCATACACCTAGTTCCTTTAGTTAAAAAATTAATGTTTTTGTTCTTTTTAAAAGCAATTTTTGCAAGCCTTGCGGTAACCTACCTGTAACTCTACTTATCTCATTCTCAGGGAGAAGCATTGCTCCCGGTTTGTTGGCCTTCATTTTATGCCAGGCCAGATGTTTCCTGTCGCTCTCCTGAAATTGGGAACGCAGTTTTTCCACCTCCATTTGCAATTCGTCATTAGTGTCACGCAACTCCTGCAATCAGTACAGCAAAAACAACTTTAAAACACAAATGCAGAAGTGTCTCTTCTCAAGTTTCTCGGAATGTAGTACAGACTTCTGCAGAATAGCCTAGAATGCCTGATACAGTTCTGTAACACTTGGAAGAACTTGACAGATGGCACCTGAAGTGAAGTCTATTCAAACAATTTCACTTCAGCAACGGATGCAGCCATTGTTCATCCCAACCAGTAGTAAGGAACAAATACAGCAGTTCACAGCACTGCCATAAGCTATCTTGGAAGGGTGTAGAAGCCATCTTTTATTTGAAATTTTCAAAAAGGTGGCTGGACAGAATCTAGCATGACTTTAAGTATGAGGATCTGATCTAGGATCTCTTGTATTTCCATTACTTGCCTTCGGGTAGGGTCAATTGTTAAATGGCATCTGACCAAATGGGTTTTAAACCATGAAAACTTACCCCACAATATATGGGTTTATTTTTAGAGAAACATGTCATGTAAAGGTATCCTCCACTCCTTCCCAAGGCCATTTTCTTTGTACTTTGACTATTTATCCTGGATCTGCCCTACCTTGCTCTTTTTGCTTTCCTGTGAGCAAACACTAGTCATCCTGATCCTAACCATGACCAACTCTTGGAACTTGTTTGACCCCAACATTACAAGGAACCTCAACCTATGGAAGCCTGTCCTTCTTGTATAGAAATATTTAGAAATATTGATTCCTATAGCTTTCATGTATCCCTTGTGTGATTCCTTTAACCTTCTGTATCTCTTGTGATGCTATAAGGTGTCATGTTCCCCCCCCTTTGGAATGTACTCCCTGCTGGTTTGATTGAGGCTAGTTGCCTGACCATTTGTTCAATTGCCCCGCCATATAACTACACATGTTTCACACTTCTGGCAGACCTACTGGCGCCTGGTTGTGCCTAGATGCCAGGAGTCACGTACCAACATAGAGGAGTGGTTAGGAGTTTGGAGTCACATTCTGCAGGTGTGGCCTTCAAGACTACTGACCATTCAGGACACTTGGACGGTCCCAGGTCTTGTCAATTGGCTCATGGCCAGAGTCATTTGAAACCTGGGATTGCCCTTTATCAGGCTGAACACAAAGACACGAGCTCAGATTTTCTGCTTGCTGTTCTGTTCTTGTTACCTGCTGTCTGTGGACTTATTCTGGAAATGCTTTGTCTCAGCCATGAGGCCTGAGACAAAGGACTGTGTTGTGCAGCTGAGCACATGGCTGCATACTGGCCCAAAGATGGGACCTAAGTGGACTTTATACTGATGCTTCTGGACTATGGATCATCCTGGTAACTATGTAGATCTTTAATGTTTAGTAAGGGCCACAGAGCCATAGGATTTCTTGTTTAATGTCTTTTCTGGTCTGATTGCTAAGTTCTGTGATAAATAAACCCTATCTGTTTATAACCTGTGTCTCAGTGATGTACCTTTGACTCCAAGGCTTTTCCAGTGTCTGAGGTTGCTTGCCCACTTGCTGCTACCTGGCTAAGAATAGTCTGGTGTAAGTCCCAAAAGCCAGTCAAGAGTTTGAACCTTCTCTTGGGCTGGAAGGGGACTATAGTGAAAGGTTCTGGTGGCACGTGTCTTAAATCCAAAGAGAGACTACCTCTCCTGGGTTTTTGTGTAAAACTCTTTGTCCTCCCAGTCCATGATCCTTTCCTTTTCTATTCCTGGATTGGATTGGGGGAGAGACAGGATCATGACACTTCTCTATGATAGACAGCTCTCAATGGGATAAAAGTCCTATCTTGAGGATGGAATAAGCCACCCTAGAAATGCTCTTTGAAACAAAACTAGGAGCAATCCTACAGGAGTCTAGTGAAAGATACTACTTTCCAGAAGAGACTTTTGTTGATATTCCTCTGAATTGTTTATCCACTGAAAGAATATCCTGTACTTAGCTTTTAATGAAAGCAACCCCTGATCTTTATTTCCAAATTTATACCTTGTCTTTCCGGCCCTCTGAGGGCCACTAAGACAGCTTTTTGAGTGGGGATCCAAAGAGGGCAACCAAGATAATAATCTTGAAAGTGTCTAGGACTTTTCAGTTTAGGAAAAAAAGATAATCAACAGGGGACACGGAAGAGGTTTATAAAATTATACTTGGGATGGAAAGAGTAGACAGAAAGAACTTTTTCTCCCTCTCCCAGAGTATTAGAACTCAAGGGCATCCAATGAAATTCATGGGCAATAGATTCAAAATTGACAAAAGGAAATAAAGGACAAAAATGGTACCTAATAGAAGCAGAAGAGATTAGGAAAAGATGGCAAGAATACACAGAAGAACTACACATGAAGGACCTCAATGTCCTTGACAACCATGACGGTGTAATCACTGACCTCGAGCCAGACATCCTGGAATGTGAAGTCAAATGGGCCTTAGAAAGCGTTGCTAAAAACAAAGCTAGTGGATGTGATGGTATCCCAGCTGAGCTATTCAAAGTCTTAAAAGATAATGCTGTTAAAGTGTTGCACTCAATTTGCCAGCAAATTTGGAAAATGCAATAGTGGCCACAGGATTGGAAAAGGGCAGTTTACATTCCAATCCCAAAGAAGGGCAATGCCAAGGAATGTTCAAATTATCGCACAATTGCACTCATTTCACACGCTAGCAAGGTCATACTCAAGATCTGACAAGCTAGGCTTCAGCAGTACGTGGATAGAGAACTGCCAGAAGTACAAGCTGGGTTTCAAAGAGGTAGATAAACTAGAGATCAAATTGCCAACATCCGCTGGATCATGGAGAAAGCAAGGGAGTGCCAGAAAAACATCTACTTCTGCTTCATTGACTATGCTAAAGCCTTTGATTGCATGGATCACAACAAACTATGGCAAGCCCTTAAAGAGATGGGAGTACCAGACCACCTCACATGTCTCTTGAGAAACCTGTATAAGTGTCAAGAAGCGACAGTTAGAACTGGATATGGAACAACTGATTGGTTTAGCATAGGAAAAGGAGTACGACAAGGATGTATATTGTCACCTTGCTTATTTAATATATATGCAGAGTACATCATGCAAAATGCTGGCCTGGATGAATCACAAACCGGAATTAAGATTGCTGGGGAAAAGATCAACAACCTCAGATATGCAGACAATCTCTCCCTTATTATAATTGAATAGCAACGTTCTATATCGCAAC